GAACCATCACCTCCTGGTTCATAGGTAGACGCTCAACCACTGAGTCACCCCAGCCAGGCAGAAGTCTATTCTTTTCAAAAATTTAATACAGTTACAAACACATACAGAAATAAGATCATACTATTACACTGTTCTAAAATGTTCTGTTTTTGTTTAACATATGAAAGGTATTTTTCTGTCAGTACATATAATTCCATTCATTCATTTTCATAACTGAAAGTATTCATAGTATAGTTCGAGAGTTGAAAATTCACAGCGAATAAACCCATATAAACCTCCAAGTTGTGTTTCTGTGGTCATTTTTATTATGCCTACATGTTTTCAATGACAGTATAACTACACATTTACTTCTGCTCTGAACCAAAATGTTACTAAAATGATTGATAGTTAAGGAATAAGAAAGGCCTAAAACTAGAATAACAAAAAAGAACAGTAAATAAAATGATAAAGAGAGAGATGCTGACAAAATTTTGGGATCTGGAAGGTAGACAGAAAAATGGTAAGTGACCTAGACTAGAGAAAGCTGTGTCATACCATTCTACTTCACAGAAGGCTAGAATGGTAAGACTGCCAGTTGCTCATCAAAACCCATCTTTTCTTCTTCTTTCTGGGCAGATACCTAGCTTATGCTTCCCAGCCTTCCCTGTAGTTGGGCATGCCCATATGACTGAGTTCTAGCAAACAGAATGTGGGTGTAAGTGACATGCACCACTTCTAGACCTGGCCCATAAAAATCTGTGCACACTCCTCCATATTCTTTTCCTCTTCTAACTGGCTGGAATGGAGATGACCTCTACGGTAACCTTCTTGGAGATCACATGTTGAAGACAAAGGAGTCACTGTCAGCCTGGGTCTCTAAATGACTATAAAGGAGGGCTGTCTTACTGACCTTTCCACTGGTACTGCTACTTAAGAAAAAATAAACTATTATATTTCAGCTATTATATTACTTTGGGGTCTAGCTGTAAAAGCATTTTTCCTCCTCAAACTAAAATACTGGAAAGGCTGTGGAGTTAGAGGTATTAGAACCTCTACAGTTGGAGGGTACAATTAAGGTTGGAAACAGATTAGGGTAAAGTCTGCATAAGACTCCCACTTGGCCCAGACAACTGGGAAGAACACCAAAAGTTTATTCTTATCACATTTAATTCTGCTCTGAACCAAAATGTTACTAAAATGATTGATAGTTAAGGAATAAGAAAGGCCTAAAACTAGAATAACAAAAAAGAACAGTAAATAAAATGATAGAGAGAGAGATGCTGACAAAATTTTGGAATCTGGAAGGTAGACAGAAAAGTGGTAAGTGACCTAGACTAGAGAAAGCTGTCATACCATTCTACTTCACAGAAGGCTAGAGTGGTAAGACTGCCAGTTGCTCATCAAAACCCATCTTTTCTTCTTCTTTCTGGGCAGATACCTAGCTTATGCTTCCCAGCCTTCCCTGTAGTTGGGCATGCCCATATGACTGAGTTCTAGCAAACAGAATGTGGGTGTAAGTGACATGCACCACTTCTAGACCTGGCCCATAAAAATCTGTGCACACTCCTCCATATTCTTTTCCTCTTCTAACTGGCTGGAATGGAGATGACCTCTACGGTAACCTTCTTGGAGATCACATGTTGAAGACAAAGGAGTCACTGTCAGCCTGGGTCTCTAAATGACTATAAAGGAGGGCTGTCTTACTGACCTTTCCACTGGTACTGCTACTTAAGAAAAAATAAACTATTATATTTCAGCTATTATATTACTTTGGGGTCTAGCTGTAAAAGCATTTTTCCTCCTCAAACTAAAATACTGGAAAGGCTGTGGAGTTAGAGGTATTAGAACCTCTACAGTTGGAGGGTACAATTAAGGTTGGAAACAGATTAGGGTAAAGTCTGCATAAGACTCCCC